ATTGTCACGAATACACAATTCACACTAAATTACACAGGTTGAGAATTGAAAATACAAAAAAATTGGTGGATTTGGAATTCCAACATATTATTCACATATTTAGTTAAAACAATCTTTAGATAATTAGTAGGATAAATTACCATAATTAATTAATCTATTTTGTTACGTTTACATTCGAGTTTGATAGCAGAGTTGATACCGGATTCAATTTAAAGTTTATTTATCGTGAGACGATACTTTTTACTCACTATATTATTACTTGTCAACGATCACGTATACTTACGAGTTTTGTACGAGCAGTTGCTATATGACCTTTAACTTGTGTTGCAATATCACCTTTTCTCAACAAATATCATAAATTCAAAAATTGGTATCTCATTCTTTTTAATTCAAGCAAGTTATTCCTCCTATTTTCCTCTACCTTTATATTTTTTTTTTGAACTCCTTTTATTTTCTTTGGTTCCTGTCTTTAAGCCTCATGTGTTCCTCATTTTCCCTTATTAAAAAAATAAATAAATTGTGGCCCCACGTAAAAACTACTTTATTTTCTATTTTAGTTTATTTTCATTTTCTTGTAATATATCGGTATTTACAAAATTCACCCCTTCAAAGAATTTTGTTCTTGAAAATGGATTCAATTTTGGAGGAAAAAACATGGACTCTTGTAGATCCAAGTGATCTCGGTCAACTATTGACTAAGTCCTTTAAAATATTTTTTCTTTGGTCCTTTTTAAAAAAGAAAAGATTCTAGAATTGATTTTGTTCTTATGGTTGAAATTATTATTTGGAATAGATTAACATTCATTTATTTGTTGAGTTTCATGGCAAATAATTATAAAAAATAATAAAAAGAAAATCTCTATTTTTCGAGCGATGAAACGAGTGTTTAATAGAAAAAGATGTTCGGGAAAAAATATTTATGACTTAATTTTTTACCCCACTGTGAAGAATGTTTGGCTCCGCCAAAGACATAGAACACGTGTAGCTATTGCTTTCTCAGAACATAATAAACAAACTCTCCAATACAGACACGAGGGCCAAATGAATCTGGGACTAGCTAAAGACATGGTCAAGGACATACAACATGTAAAATTCTTACTAAAGATTCATTCTTTCCAAGCATCAGCACTCGACCATAGTACGCAAGAAAAGTAAACTAAAATTCAATCCTACAGAAGAAAAGTGAACTAAACTCCAATCAATTGAACTGCTCAACAGAGTCTAATGCTCATAAAATTCCTTGTGATAAAGGGAACTCAGTTTAAATTTTGATTCCTATAGTTAGACAATGCTGCAAATTTGCTATTGTTTATCGTCAATCATGTTCCAAATAATCATATAATTATTGATACAATTGAAAGCTTCCAGCCAACATGTATGCATAAGAAAAGCTTGCTGGAAAGAACTCAATTTCTTACGTCGAATATGAACTCAATTTCTGATTTGCAACAACTGCAACGATGAAAATTGAGTCATTCTGTAGCATTTTAGAAGTAATGGCACAGTATTTGGAAATCAAAGGGGATGTAAGGATCCATACATTAAATTGTTTAAATTTTGTAACTAGACTCGTGAGATCTTATTTCAGACGATAACCTTGATAATTGCAGCCATCTTTGTCCATTATGATACTATCCAACACTGGAAAACACAGATACATTAGACAAAAAGAGGTGCATATGGTATTCCACATAACTCTTTACAAGGAAAAAATATACTGGAATAATTTGATAACAGCTTTTGTACCAAAGGACAAAAACTGAGTGTATAGCAATGAGGAAATATATAGTGATTCCAGAGCATTTACTTCGTAAAAACTGAATTGGGTTCATCATGACACCTTGAAATGACTAAATATTTAGTGTACAATAGTAATTTTCTAACAATGTTACAAAGTACTCAATAATAGAAAAAATATAAATTTCTCTGTGCAAATTCAAATTGTGAAGTAAACTTGGCAATTTGCAAGATACACGTGTGTGTGAGCATAAGATCCACTGTGTACGGAAAATGAATTAGATTGTTTCACTGAATATCATACGTGATATTTTGCTTCCACGCGAATGCAGTTTAATGAATTAATGACCCAGGCCTCGTGTTCGGTCGTTCTCTTACGTGATGTCCGCTCTTGGAGAGTCCAATTCCATTTTACCCTTTCACAGATTTCTATTGAGTCCCCAAGATTCGAGTCCTTGACATTTCCCTTCAAAATATTTTAAGTTAAATCATGCTACCAATTGGAGAAGAGGTTGTTGGAGGCGAGCTATAACTCCATAGAGCAGGAAATCGAGCATGCCAACTAAGAGAAACATATATCATTTATGGTTCAGTAAACACTTGCCCTAAGAATCAAGAAAAAGAGAGATGGAAGATATTTGCTTCGACATTAAAGAATATATTTTTCACAGGCTGCCGTTATTGAGCTATTTCTTCTGCTATGAACAGGATACCAGTGCATAAACAAATTCTCATGGAAGAAAATTAATCCAAAATAAAGATTTCAAAGTTTCTCCCTCTAGCTTCACTTTCTGGATTTAAGAAAATGTTAAAACAAAAATCCAACTTTTTTTGGTTCAAAATATGTGCAATCTTGGCCTACAAAGGGAAAAAAGGAGACACTTGAAGTTTCTACAAATATCCTATTTTTTTTGTTCAAAAATCCAATGAATGTTGCTAAAGCGTATGCTTCTACAACAGTCAACGTAATATTGCAAAATAGTCATACATTAATAGTTTCAACAACAAGCAATGAAAATTGCAAGAGGTATTAAAATCATGAAGTGAACGTTGCTAAAGAGTATGTTTTTGCGACAGACAATGAAAAAATAACCATGTATTAATAGTTTCAGCAATAGGCATTGAATGTTGCTGAAGGAGGAGGTTGTAACAATGCTCAATGAGCGTTGCAAAATATGCGAAATATGTAAACATTTTTGTAACACTCCATAAACGTTGCAAAATGAGACATTGACAACATGCATTAAAATATTGTTGCCAACGATCAATTATGTTAACCGACAACATCATCAGCTTATTCGAATGTTGCGATAGACCTCTTTTTGCAAGTTATAGTAGAAACATATGTAATGCTTATTCACTTATGTGTTAGAATATCTATGATCGGATCTAGAAACCAGCCAAGGGATGTCTCATGCAAATTCTATACTTAATATTATATAATTCATAAATAACTATTCTCCTACAAATTTCAAAAAATTTCTTGACTTAGCATTAGTCGTACTAATATTAGACTAACTCAATATGCCTAACATGAAGAACAAAGAAAGGTCTAGAGAAGTAATGAAAGGAAGTAAAGAATCAGTTAAAGCTGCAGAGATACCTTGCCCATGTACTTGTATTTACTTTAAGTAGAATAAAGCATAGTACTTATACCATGCCCAATAGATTATACTTACTTTATGCCTTTTCTCTAATCGTACTACATAAGTATTTAAAATATAGAGCCTATAAATAGAGTACGTTGGCTGGAGTAACCACACATCTCTACAAACTAACTATAATATCTTAGCCTACTGATTCCTATGGATCACTCCTGCTCCCAAATTGAGGTTAAACGCTCTGATTTCCCCAAGGATTTTATCTTCGGTGCTGGAACATCAGCATATCAGGTGTGTAACTATTTAGTGTATGTTTTCGTATATCAAAGCACTAAATGGAGAATGGACCATATTTTAGCTCATTTTAACAAAGTAAAAATGTCCACTACTATTACGAAAAACATTATCAATCATACACCTAATGTTTGAAAATAATGAAGATTCTTTAAAACCATCACCAGAATGCATGATTACGTATGTGAGGGATTTTGGATTGACCAACAAACTCCGTCTTGCATCTATTGTTATGGTCAAAATATTCCCATGTATTATTAGTTTACTTAAGCTCGTCATCCTGTTCGTTTCGATGGATCCCACCCAAATTGAGGTCAAAGAATCTAATTTTCCCAAGGATTTTATCNNNATCTAATTTTCCCAAGGATTTTATCATCAGTGCTTCAACATCATCAGCATATTAGGTGGGTGTGATCAGTATGTTTTAGTATGTTGTATCCAGGGGTGGAGCCACGAATTTAAGTTACGGGAGGCAAAAGTTTTTTAAAAAGTTAATGTACAAATAATATATAACAAAAAAAGTCATGATATAGCATTGCTTATTAGAGTCGTACCCAACATAAAATTCATATATAATATAATCTAAATCTAAATTCATAGGAAATTCTCATCCGACACCAAACATAAGAATCCTAAATCAACTCATACTCCAACAAAAATTGCAATGCAAGGTGCTAAAGGTCAATCGAAGTACCTACTTGACGTTTGAGAACAATGAAGATTCATTAAAACCATCTTGAGAATGCATTATTAATATCTTAGAAGGCGCATTAACATATAAATGAATTACTAGTGTTTCTTAATTTGTGGATTTAGAATTTATCTGAAGTGCTATATATTTAATTACTGCAGGTCGAAGGTGCTTGGAATGCAGATGGTAAAGGCAGGAGTAATTGGGATCATTTCACTCTACATACTCCTGGTCTCTTCTCTCTCTCTCTTTCTCATTTCTTGCTGTCTGTGTAATAATGTGCATGTGTGTTAATATAATCTTACAGTAATATATAAGAGATTTGGCTATCCCTCTTAAAATAGTTAACATATTAAGATAAAATCCATATTCTCAATATCGTATCAGCATCCAACCAACTCAAAGAAGTAATTTGATACGTCTAAAACTCGAACAACTCAGATACCAAGATAGATGTTTTCCTACGAGTCACTTCCTTTTGGGGCGATGTTAATTGTATAATCTCACATTGATTATATATGAAAACACCGATCAACATATAAGGGATTTTCGACTTCTTTTACCAGTATTGACATTTTAGGATGGAACCAAAAATCTCAACAATAGACACGTAAACATGTAATAATTAAACACAAACAAACATGTGGACTTGTATTTTACATGATGATCATTGGTTAGCATATATTTATGCTTATTTATTGGACCTACAGGTGGCACTGCAGACGGTAGCAATGGGTGCGTTGCTCTTGATCAATATAATATGTTCAAGGTATATGTACTTCAGCAATTTAATTTTTTTTTTGTGGCACAAAGTGATGGCAATTCATTCAGTGGACTGGTATAAAAGGAAATACTCAAATCTAAAAGTTTATGTTTTACTTCCAGTCGAACCTTACTTTACTTGAAAAGGTTGTCTTGTAATTAAATTTCTGTATGAACATTCCATACCAATCCGAAATGGATGTACTTAGTTCCAGGAGGAAATTGCCAAATGTAATGAGAGGAATTTTGATAAGTTGAGTGAAAAATGAGTTGAACTAGCAACAGTAAATGAATTAAACAGACAAAAATAACATTCATCACCATTATATGGAGGGAATCACTTGAAGTCTGAAAGGTAAATTTATGAAAAATGGAAGACGCAAAATATTTTTCATTACACTTGGTTGTACATTAATTTAAGCCTACAAGAGTAAATTGTTTTAACTGCTAATCGTATTCATTTGCAGGATGACGTGGATTTAATGAAGAAATTGGGTTTAGATTCTTATAGATTTTCAATTGCATGGTCCCGAATCTTACCGGGTATTGGATTCTACTTAATTAAAAGTAGAAAAATATGATTTTTATTTTGATATTGCAATGTCAGGGATGTAAAGTTTGTGCACCATTTAATTTTTAAAGGAGAAGTTTTCCTAATTACACTATTTTATTTATGCTAAAGTGCAATATGTTTTATGCTTAAAACTTTAAAAACAAGGTCACTCAGTAAAATAACTTACTGACATTTTATTAAAATACCGTCCAGGCAAAGTTATAGAGAAGCTCGCGACAACAGAGTTTGTTATCTATGTTGACGAGGAAGTCTAGCGTGTCTAAATGGACTAGAATCCCTCATCAACTTCGACTAGTTTGCCAAGATACCTAGTTGGCCAGAAATATTTAGAAAAGGATGAAAGAAGTTTTGACAAAATATTTTAAAATACCCAGAAAGCTATTTGGAAAGATAACTAGATGATTTCTTTAGAAAATATTTTAAAGAGTATAAATTATTTAGAAAATTAGTAGTAGCCCCTTAAGTGACCTCTCCATGAAATTTCCTCTTCAGGGTAAGAGGATTCCATATATAAATTATATTGATATTCAGGAGGTAAACTATGCGGCGGCGTAAGCAAAGAAGGAATCAAATACTATAACGATCTCATAGACGTACTTTTGGCACAAGGTTAGACTTCATCATATATATATATATATTTTTTTTTTTTTATATATATATTTTTTTAATTTACTGAATTTATAATTAGAAGTTCATAATTGATATGCTTTTGAAATCAATTATCTTCTTAAATATTAAAATCAAAATCAAAATGTCTCTTAATTACTTCTGTGCTGGTATTGAGCCGTGGGCAACTATCTTCCACTGGGATGTTCCCCAATATTTGGAAGCCGAGTACCTTGGCTTCTTAAATAATCAAATTGTGTAAGTAACTCGATCTTGCATTGTAGGAAACATCTTGTGCTAGATATTTAAGTTAAAATGGAAAGTTAACATAAATTAAGCAAAGTTATTTTATTGATCACTGTATATTGAAGGGAAAAGTAGAAACCATTCCTTTTTAGAAAATGGATATTAGTAAGTGATAGAGCAGAGGAACATTGATCTCTCCTACAAAGATTAATCTTGTAGGTGAAATATATATACATTGTGTGTGTGATATTAAGTTCTTCTACTTTTCCATTATAGGAATGGTCCTTTACTCTTATGGGATATGTGGAGGGCCTTTTTCCCCCTTGTCGAGGTGGAACTTCAACACATAATGTGATGGGTGAACAGTTTGCAACTTCAATGGAACAATTGATGCGTCCCCTAACTGCCCTAAGAGTTAATCATAGAATGCCAATGACTAGGCTTCTAACTGTTAATCCAAAGGAAGGAGATTCTGGCATAGAACCATATATAGTGGCACACCATTTGATCCTTGCTCATGCACATGCCGTTAATATATACAGGAAAAAATATCAGGTTTTCATTTTAACATTTTTCACACATAAACACACTCACACAGAAATGTAGTATGTATGTATGTATGTATGTATGTATGTATAGAAATGTTGTCCTAAGCGCCGGTGCCTAGCTTATGCTATGTGGTAAGCTGCCTAGCTTATGCTATGCGGTAAGCTAAGTATCGGTAATATGATATTCGAATTAATTGGTGAATCATTTAATTCTTGGGACCTACAATGAACTTACTCACAAATTAATTGGTGTGCCAAGTCACTTGTGGCGCTTACCGAAGCTTAGGAGATCATATATATATATATATGAACTTTTGAGATTTTTAACAGTAAATTACTTAAAACAATTAATACATTCGTACTTACAGGAACACCAAGGAGGCAAAATAGGGATGTCAAACGTTTCAGTTTGGTTTTATCCATTTGATCCGAAAACTCCAGAAGACGTAGAGGCTGCTTCCAGGGCGGTCGATTTTATGTTAGGATGGTAAATAGTCATGTGCTCGATCAATACTCTAAGCTATTTCTAACTCTCAAGATAGGATGGTAATTGATGCATGTCTATAAATTCCTGACTCTCTAAATGAAATTAGCAGCATGGGAAGTTTGTTAAATAGGAATCTATTGTCGTAAATTATTTCTCTTATAAACTTTTTGTCCTTGAACTTGTTCATACATTTGGGCATTTGTACGATGTATAAAGCATGCGTCATTTTTCAAGAATTCATGATATATCATTAATTTTGAAGAATTTCAGGTAGTACGTCATCACAATATATAACTCAATTCTTCTGTTACAGGTTTGTAGCGCCTGTAATAAAGGGAGATTATCCACCATCCATGAGAAAAAATGTAGGAGTACGTCTTCCCAAATTTAAACAAAATGAGGTGACGCTAGTGAAAGATTCCTGTGACTTTTTAGGCATAAATTATTACACGACTTATTATGCTAAGAATCAACCTAAGAAGACTGGTGTACTACCAAATTATGACAATGATCTTCAAGTCGAATATCTTTGTAAGTACTGAGATGTTTGAGCTATAAACTTTTATCCAGGAACAAATGGGCTTTACTTGTAACAAGATATGTACTTCTTAATCTTTTGCAGTCGACCGTGGTGGTGTGCCGATTGGTCCTCAGGTGAGTTATTAACTTTACCCTTCCCTGGGAAAGATAGAATATAAAGGAATGAAATATTCAAACAATTTAGGCATATGATTGATTTACGATGATGCTTTATCATGTCATAGACTCCTAATATACAGGCACAACAAACTAAAATACTTATAAAATTGAGTTTACGTAATTTTAAATGCTTACATGATAACAATTTATTTATTTTTTATTTCTTGTCAGCCTGGTTCCGCATGGTTGTACGTGGTTCCAGATGGAATTTACCATGTCACGCGGTACATAAAAGAAACATATAATAATCCTGAGATTTACATTACAGAGAATGGTATATAATTATTTTTATTGGTTTATTTATATATAGACGTAAAGGTATATTAATTTTTTAATATCATTTATTGGTTTATAAAAATTCCCCCACGATATTGTGTAGGGGTGAATGAGATAAACGATAAAACCGTAACAATTTCAAAAGCTCGTATTGATGAAACAAGGATTAAGTATCACAGGGACCATCTCGCAAAACTTAGAGATGCAAGGAAGTAAGTCATTATTTGTTTTTCTTATATGGTTGTTCAATTCGAAACAAAATTTGTAAGTTCTGAAATTAGTTGACAAATTTCTTCCATTTCCAGTATTGGTGTTCGTGTGAAGGGTTACTTCATATGGTCATTGCTTGACAATTTCGAATGGGCTGAGGGCTACACTATTAGATTTGGCATTTTTTATGCAGACTACGTGAATGGACGTTTGACAAGATTCCCTAAAGACTCAGCTGTATGGTGGATGAATTTCCTGAACAAGACAAAGAGTCCATGGAATAAACTTCCGTGGAAGCCTATATTTTCGGGAAAGCTACAAGATGAGAAAACTGAACAAGAAGAAGAACAACACGGCTCTGTGAAAAGGCCAAGATGCAAAGATGCTTAAAATTAACAATTAGTGCTTCCTTTAATTTCTTCTAAAATGTTATAAAGTTGAATAATGCAAGCATGGAGGCATGCTTTATGTTTGTTTTAGTTTGTTCCAAATTCTCTCTGAAGCTTGCAGTCGTTCTGTTCAAATAAATGGAACCCATTGAGGCTCCAAGTGCAATCATCGCATTTCAAGTTTGTGCAATAAAAGATTCGCAACCGACATGCTTAAGTTCTAGTTTATTAGTATAGTCTTCTGTTATTTTTAATTATTGAATGTTTTAGCAGACTTCCTAACTGAAATAACGAGGTTCGACCCAAACTACACCTAGAGGGGGGTGAATAGGTAATTATGCGGAATTAAAACTTAATAATTAATTAGCAACAAATCACTATTAATTATATCTAGATGGTTAGTCAAACAGTTTAATTTTTCCTATATTGAAATACCGCAGTTATGAAAGCAATAAACAAACACAAGGAATGATCACGGAGAAACCCTAACTGGGTAAAAAACTTCAGGCACTTTACGAGTCGTCCACTATAAACGAATTATGTACTTACAGTCCTTCAGACAGGACTATCACTAGTACTTTCTAACCTACTGACTACAATTTCCATAGCTTTCCTGGATTGCGTGCTTCTGCACCAATTCCCACCTATAGTTTTCAAAGCCCTCTTAGATTATGTGTTGCTGCAGCAACTCCCGACTTTATGAATCCATCTATCTCCTATGAATCAACGAAAAACTCCGCGTTCTACAACAACTGAAACTCCAGTCACCTTACCTTGATCTTCAAACTCTAACAAATGTGTAGGAAGTAGCTGTTTGGTATTTGGATTATGGATTTGATGTTTTCAACATCAAGATTAAATCACAACATAAAGGTTGAAAGCTTGTTTGATGAAGAGGATATGAAACAGTATATATTTCTTCAATGATCAACCTTGTAAAAATCGTTCAGAGGCGTTTAGTACTTATAGTTTAGGTTTTGGGGTTGAATGGGCCGGACAAAAAGCCTTAAAAACGCGAATTAAAATTTTTCGAAAAATCCCGTCGCTCAAGCGAAAGCTAGGCTACAGGCGACCGACAGTGTGTTGGTCGAGCGAAGGCAAGGCGACAAGAGGGGGACATTGTTTCTATTTCTGCCGCTCAAGCAAAGTCATGGCAATAGTCTAGTGAAATTGAAGCACCTTTTTTTCTTCTTTTCCATTCTCGAACCCTAGACCTAATACAACTCAATTTCTACTATTTGCAACTTACTCCTTCACTTTTACAACATTTTAAATTTAGTATCTCTTGTTCACAGACTTGACAATTACATCAAAAACCTAACAAACTTCTCCTTTGGCATTCTGTGACAAAACTTCAATCTAAAGTCAAGGTCGTAGTGAAAAAGAATTACAGACTCAATGACTGACACAACCAACACTAACTGTCTTCATTAAATTTTTCTTTTCCTTTATCAAAACATGTTTCCTGAAATAGACAACTCAAATACCTAGTGAAAACATATGTGAAACAGTACTAAGTGTAAAAGTAATCCAAGCAGTTAATCCAAGCATTTTTAACTCATAACACGTCATTTCAGTTTCATATCATAAGCTAAATTAAGATGTAATATCTATGCAACCCAATATACCAAAACGAAACATTGATACTACAAAACTTAATCTAACAATACTGAAATTATCATTTAATCAAATTTTTTTAGATACATCATGTCAAGTCAAAATAGTCTCCATTTTTATCACAAAATGACAAGGGATCAAGAATAACATATAATAACCCAAAAATGCAGTTGTCAGTATGCACAAGTATAAGCAATAAACAGTAACCCTTCCCATATATGTAACTCAAGTTAACATGGAGTAAATTGTATAAGTGACCCATATGTAGAAAGTGTCACTAATCCTTTGGACGTAGGACTCCAAATCTTAATTTTGTGAGAAAGGACACGCTAAACATCACTGCCAATAAGCGTATTCCCTTACTTATGAAAGTCAAACCATTTAAAGTACATTAGAACCTATACAGAGAAGCTTATTTTGTATGGAAAGTTATTTTCTCCCCCTGAATTTGAGCAAAATTTTTATTTCATAACATCAATATTCAAAACTCATTATTATTTTCCTCATCTTAAGTGCAAGCTTTTCTTCATTAAGCGACTAAAATGAACAGGAAAAAATTTATTTGGGCCAACACCAAAGGGTCTCACTCAATTTTGGCCCAATAATTTTTTTTAATAACCTAACCTCATCAACAACGTTTCACTCCTAAGTCCCGTCTGAGCCGTCTCCTCTCCTTGCAACAATTCAACTCTCCTCCAACAGTTCTTCATACCGACGCCGGTATTTCCAAATTCTAGTTTCTACTCTTCTTTCCTTCGTTTCTCTTCCTTTCCCTTCTTTTCCCTTCATTTTCCCTTTTGTTCGCGACTGCGAGTCGCTCACTCGAGCTTTAAAGTCATCACTTATCAGGTGATTCAGCCATTCAGGTCAACCGTCGACTGCTGCATGCTGGTACTATGGCATCTGCGGTCTACTGGTAGGCATAGCGATTACTACCAAATGGGCAAACAATTGATTCTTTACAATACAAGCGATTACTACCAAATGGGCAAA